GGGGGGGGGGGACTTTTCCAAGCGGTGAAATTCTTCCTTCCCTTTTTTTTTTTTTTTTTAATGTATTTTTTTCGGCCCCCCCCGGGTCCGGTTCCGGTTCCCTTGGTTTTCACCCCCGAAACCGGGGTGGACCCTTGGGCCCTTTTCACGGCGGCGGTTCCCAACCCTGCCCCCATTGGTGCCTTACCCCCCCCCCCCCCCCCCGCCAGGATAAGGCAGAAGGGAAGGCAAATGAGGGACAAAAGGAATCCTGAAAGGCACAGGAAAGTAGAAAGTAGGAGTAAGGAAATCAGAATAGGGTCTTGGAATGTATGCGGATTTGCCACAGATGAGCGTAAAAGACTCGAAATTGCCGAGCAAGCGGCCGAAAAAGACCTGGACATAGTCGGAGTCCAAGAGTCGTGGGAGAAGGACGGGGGAGAAATAGGAAAAGAAGTGGGAAGCTACACATGGATAGGTAAAATGAGGAGAGGACAGAAAATCAAGAGTAGAGGGGAGGGGGGAGTTGGATTCTTTGTCAAGGAGCACATGTGCGACATAATTGAGGTGATCAGCGACACCAAATTCAACGAAAGCATGTGGATAAGGGTACCAGGGGAACGGGGAAGAAAGGACTTGTTCGTAGGAAATGTATATATGCCACCAGAGTCGAAGAATATGGTGAAAGACATCAGGATAGGTTTCGAGGAGGTAGCAGCGGATGTACAAAACTTCAAGAGAAAGGGAGAAGTAGTTCTAGTTGGGGACTTCAATTCAAGAATCGGGCGAACCACGAACCCACACGGAACCATAGGGCAATACGGGGAGGGAGCCACGAACAAAAACGGGGAAGAAATGCTGAGGTTCCTTGACAGTAGCGAGATGAAGGTGTTGAACGGTAGAGTACGCAAGACAGAACCGGAATGGACTAGGCAATGTTTCAAAAAAGGAGAACGATCCATCCTTGACTATATAGTCGTAGAGAATGGGGGGAAAGAGACGGAAGTACGAGTATGCACTACGGATGTAGGCACTACAGACCACGCGTTGGTGTGGACAGCCCTACAACAGAAGAGAGTCATACAGAGTAGGCGACGCAGGAAAATGTACAGATGGAGAATAGATAAGCTAGAAGTAGAAGAAACGAGGGTAGAGTTCCAAGAAGAGATGGCTATAAACGACAAGAAACTCTCGGAGTTGATGGAGGCAATGGGTACACCGAAGGATGCCGAAGGCCGGGACCAGGCCGGGTCTAGAATCATAGAAGGGTGGGAAGAGCTGGTAAACACAACAGCAAGCGGAGTTCTAGGTAGAAAGTTGATAGTTTGTAAGAGAGCCAGTGAAGTGGTGGGACGAAGAAATCAAGCAAGCAATTCGAGTACGTAGAGAGTCACACGCAAAATATGCGGCAGGGAAAACAGATGCAGGATGGAAGGAGTATGTTGAAAGTAGAAAGAGGGTGAAGGAGTTGGTCGTGAAGAAGAAGAAAGGGTTGTGGGAGGAAGTAGTCCAAAAGACTAACGAAGATTTTGAGGGGGGGATGAAGCAAATGTGGGTAGGAATTCAAGGGATAGTGGGCAAGAAAAGAGGGGGAGACACGGAAATAACGACACTAAGATCTGCCGAGGGTAAGATGGTAAGCAGTTCTAAAGGAAAGAGGGAAGTACTAGTAGAGCACTACCGCAAACTTGGGACACCCACCACCAACGACAACTTCGACTCGGAGTTTGAGAAGGAAATCAACTCGTGGGCAGAGGAAAACGTTGAAAGATCTCAGAGGGAACGTAGTGATGTAGACGGGTTGCAGGGAGAGTTCACACGAAAAGAGGTAGAGGACTGCGTAGCGAAACTCAAGAATAGAAAAGCGGCAGGGGCTGATGGAATTGTGAACGAGCTTTTGAAACAGGGGGGGGAGGGGATGATTAACATGTTGGTCCGGATATTCAACTGGATATGGAAACACGAGTACGCGCCGAAGAGATGGAGAGAAGGAGTAGTCGTGAACCTGTTCAAAAAGGGGGATAAAGCTGACCCGGGGAATTATAGAGGGATAACCCTGTTGAGCACAGTGGGGAAACTGTTTGGCAAGATGATAGACAATAGAATGGGAGACATGTTGGAGGGGAAACAAAAGATCAGCGAAGGACAAGCTGGATTTAGACCAGATCGTAGTTGTGTAGACCATGTATATACGTTGAGTAAAATCATCCAAGGTAGGAAAGACGCCGGGCGTACGACATACTGTTTCTTCCTCGATATACAAAAAGCCTACGACACCGTATGGCGCAATGGATTGTGGAAAAAGATGTGGGACATCGGCATCCGGGGGAAAATGTGGAGGATGTTGAAAAAGATGACAGAATGCACAAGAAGTGCGGTGATGTTGGATGGGGAAATTTCGAAGTACGTGGATATACTCCAAGGAGTCGCACAGGGCTGTACGATGTCACCCACTCTTTTTAAGATTTACATCAACGATTTG